CGATGATCAATCATGTCTTCATATCTTTCTCCGCAGTTCAAATATATGATCTTTCATATATTCACTTGCAAAAACAAAACTTTTGGCTCGAAGTTAACAATACCCGACTCATTAAACGCCTTATTTCAATAAACACATCATACATATCTATTGTTTCTAACAGGAACGGACGATCTTAATTTCGGACTAAAAAGTGTCCGAAAATATAACCGTCCGAAATTTATAGGCGTCCGAAATATTTACAGTACAGAAAGTACAGTATATAACTTTTAAATAGCGCCAAAGCTCTTACGTTCCTTTATGAAGCGAACTCTTGAGACACTGTTTGAGATGCGTAACGGCTTGATAGAATACGTGTCATTTTCTTGTCAGTGTATCTCTAAAACCTTGAGGGTGCAGTAAAACGATCATTTTCATAGATGTTGTTTTAGTCTAATTCGTGTTTTGTTGGCGTAAATTTAAACGTCCAAAATAAAACAACCGAAATTTTTTGCAAGTAATGCACAAAACTAATCTACCGTAGGCTTACCCGACTTTTCCCTCTCTTTTGCGCAACTCATGAGACCGTCTGGCTGTGCCTCGCAAAGTCTCGAAGCCTAATTAGTGGTTTGAGCCACATTAATTTTAGTCAAAACTTCCCCATGAGACAAACTAACAGTTCAAATGAAAACATTCATACCTTCAAGGTCATCTGCATGCCGGCACACTACAAGGAAAAAAGATTGCGGCGATTTCAAGTGAAAAAAATTATTTACAAAGATTCTTAAAAACAACCCCAACAAATCTAAGGCTAGGTGTTCACTGAAATTTTACTTACTCGACCAAATATTCGTCCTGATTTTCCTCGAATGAGCTCTAAACTGTCCGCATTTTTCTTCTGTGGCATAAGACTGCTTCCAGTGCTGAAATGCAAGCACAGTTAATTTACTCATTTACTAATCTAACAATTTTCTCTTCAAGTGTACCAACTGATTTAAAATTAAATTTCCTAAACAAGAAAATACTAAGCAGTAACTATTAAGCTATCTTTATACATTTATTTTCTTAAAAGGAAGAATCACCCTAGAGGGGGACTCCCACAAAAAGCACGGGGGTGCTCATCGTGGTTTTGGTACCTCGTAGGGTTTTCAGGCGTAAAAGGTACACAGCGGGAGCCTTTCCGGTATTTTTTAGGGTATTGAGCCGAAAAAAATATGACAGGAGATAATGTGTTGTTTTAGAATTGGTACTGACCTCCTAGGGGTGAAAAAAAAAATATCAAGCCACGCCCCAAAAAACAAAATCTTGGTACCTCGTAAGGGCTCCTTTCAAAATTTCCGACGAGCACCCCTGTCTTTTATGTGAGAGTGCCCCCGGGGAGAGAACATGACATGACAAGTATAATGGTTCAGCAAAGAGTGGCTAGAAACAGCTTACCTGTAGGCATCTGATAATGATATGAAACCAAACTCCTTGGTGGAATAAAGAATCATATCTTCAGCCCAGCGACTGTAAAGGAGCAAATACATAAACCTGTATGAGAAAGTTTCTACAATGCAAGCTGTCCTAGCTACCTGATATCAGTAACACTACTGTAATGTTTAACTTTCTTGATTAATTCCAAACCTGAGATGCGTTGACAGGAGTGAAGCCCAGAACAGAAACTCCACAATGTAGTCCCTGTCTCCTACTGCATCCATACTGTTACCTGATACAGCTGAGAAATTCAACTCTGCAAGACAGATTGATAATACCATTTGAAGGACCCCAGGGTGAAAATTAACAGAGTGGTCACTTCCTGACTTGGACAGAACGGAGGCTGTAATGGAAATTTACTTTTTCGATCTGATGAACTCAGAAAGCTTTAAAGGATAGCATAAAACCACCTAACGACATCATGAAACATCAATTTTGACTTCATTTTATTACACGGAAAACTGACTTAGGGAGAAATCCAGTGAGCGCTATAGCCAGAACAATATATGTACTATAGAGCTTACTATTACAGGTAAGGGCATGTTTTAAGCTGTGCACCCTTTAATAAGCCATAATTTTACCTTTGGCAAGAAACTGGCGGTCAACATTGAAAGGATTTCCAGCAATGGCACCGCTACAACAAATAAAATTACACAAATATAATAACCTTATTATAATCAAATAATGAATACAAGTGAGACACACCTTTATGTATTATATTATAACGTGTTGCATAGATGATGTTTATTTTTTTAAATTACTATTTGTTGCCAATAAATTGCACCCAACTGCTCTAGAGTATCTATGGATGAAGGAAAACTTGACAATGATTTCTTTTATGGGGAGGGGGGGGGGGGAATTCTTCCCTTTCCCCCGGTTTCCCACCCTTGATCCTTCTCCTTTTCTTGGACTGAAATTGTACTAAAACAAACATTTCTGCATCAGTGAGGGTTTTTTTTAAAACATTTGACAATAAAGATAAATGGTAAAAGTTTGCGACGTTTCGACTGCTCCTTCGGTCATTATCAAGCAAGATGTAAGAAGTAAAATTTGC